CCTAGACTATCCAATCTCTTCTTCCCCATATGGGGTGGATTAAAGTTGTTGCCTCCTTCCTTTTCCAGGATCATCTTCATTACCCCTTGCAAAGTGATCCATGTATACTTGTTTAGTATTGGATCAAATCACTCATAAGCCTCATACACTTTCTCTATTAATTCATCAACTGTTGTGGGGAAGGATTGATATTGTAGAGATTGTATGACCTTAAATAGGCCCAAATCTAGCACATTGAGGTCTGGTGATTGTGCTGGTTGAAATTTCATTTGAATGCTGAATCCATCAGATGTGCATGCTTGTTTGAAATCCTCATCCATTGGGATTTGATGAGGCCTTGCACTATCCCACTAGATAACTATGTCCTTAGGAAGAATTGGATACCATTGTCTTTTGATTGCTGGAATAATGTTATTCAAAAGCATTTTCCTGATTTCTTCCCTCTTTACACTTTCCACAACCTTAGTTTCCAATACCCCTACATCTCTGTTCTTTCTTTTCTTCTTAGCCCTCTGTTGGTAAGTGAAAGGGAAGATACCAAACTTCCCATCATGTAACATGTGGCCATTGCAATCATACAATGGTTTCCCAATGACCCCCATGAACATTGCTTTGATTTTGTATCTCTTTGATTGTTGACATCTGTAAGGGTTTTCTTCCTTTGGTAAGAGGTAAAACCTCCTAGTTTTAGGATTCATATAGAACCACTTTTCATCAATGTGAATATCATGTTGCATGTATATGAAAGTAGGATTGCCTACTGCTGGAATTGGGTGAATATGTTCTAGTGCCCATTTCTTCCTTGCCACTTTGTGATTAGATGTGAGTGTTGGGTGGTTTGCTGTTGTATGTGTTCTTAACCTGCCTTTTTTCTTTAACTTATGGAGAAATCCATGTGAGATTTTAAGAGCAGCTACATAACTCCTCTATGTTGTCCTTTTGTATAAAGGCACAGACTGCAAGAACTTGTCTGTTATGTCTCTTGGTTTTGGACCTGTTTTTCCAAGTTTTTTGCTTCTGACATCAATGACATTCCCTTCTGCTATACTTTGCTTGACAAACGTCCAGACCCTTAATGATGTGCTTCTGTGAATCCCATACTTACTTGCGATTTGTGACAGAAAACCCCTTGTGAGTTCCCCTTGTGAGTTCCCCCTGATGCATGTTCAGTAGGAAATCATCAACCATTTTCCTTTTTGTTTGGACAGTGAGTTTCTTTCTGCTTGTTGGTTGTGGTTGTATTTGTTCTTCCCCTTCACTGTCTTCCCCATCCGGTTCATTGTATTCCCCTTCTGTGCCTTCTTCCATGTTTTCATCAGAACTGTTGCATTGATATGGTCCCTCATTCAATAGTTGGTCAATATGAAAGAATTCCTAATCAAAATATTCTTCCATTTGTGTGGTCCCTTTTTTTTTTTGTTTTGTAGATGAAGAAGGAAGGTGATGAAGTTTTTTGTGGCTGAAGTTTTTTGTGAAGACCTCAAAGAAGCGGAACCCTAATGTTGCCGTTAGTTTAGGACTAACTTTAGTTTAGGCAGTACATATTTTGGACAAAATTAACTGTTATGTAATGGGGTTTGTTTTTGAAGAAACTAGATTCTGAAATTTCTAAGCCATAGTGGCTGTTAGTTTGTAATTAATGCTATTATGTGAATGGTTGGTGCCCTTATATATGGGGCAGATTTATGTTTAGGGTGAAGTTAAAACTGTGAATGTTGTTTCGAATTTTGGTGAATTTTCAAAATTTTTAAATTTTGGGTGGAAATCTGAAATTTTAAAATTTTCACCCCAAAAATTTAGAGGGAAAACAACATTCCCTCTCCTTTTTGGTGACAGATTCCAAGCCATTTACCAAAAGGAGGGACCACATTCTCTCTCCTTTTTCCCACAAAAAAATACCCACATGCAAATTTAGTCAACTAGGCGTCTAGGCCCACTTTCTCTCTCTTCTTTCCCTCCATTTTAGAAGTTAATTAAACCCACAAAAATGTAATTAAACATTCCTAAAAGTTTTTCCTAGGAGTCTGTAAAAAATACAAATGGTGCAGATAACTGTTTGCGGAGGGAGTAATATTTTAAATACTTATTGAATGGTTAGAGAGCTTTCGTTAGCAAGGTCCTATTCTCAATCCCGTAACAAACAAAAGTTTTATTATTTTTATTTTTATTTTTATTTTTATTTTTATTTTTTATTCTCATGTACCAAACACCCTCTTGTATCCGCGCGTTCGAAATCCCGCTAAACCCTAAGAGTAATATTTTAACGTCTTGGCGTTCCAATTTTTTTCCAAGTGTCGCGCCACGTTGGATAGATTTAAATAGACCTCATAAGATAAAAAAAAGTTAATTTAGACTTCTATTTGGATATAATTTTAGGATAAAATTAGTTTTATTTTCGATAAAATACCAATATTTCAAATGTACAAATTCAATTATAATTTTATTAAAATAATTATTAGATTATCAATCTAAAAAATTAATAAATTATTTTTTGTATCATAATATTTTTTAGGCAAAGGAAATAGTTCAAAGCGTAAAACATACATTTATAAAATATACTAACCGGTTAGAATAATATACTTCACAATCTAGCAAATCGTATAAAGATTAAAAATTTATTTTATAATTCAATAAACAACCCGGGCATCGCACGGGGCACAAAACTAGTATATATATATATATATATATATATATATATATATATATATATATATATATATATTATGTTATACTCTATATTTCCTTAGAATATTATGGATTTATGAAACCATATGGCTTCTGATTATAATTACTCTCGGTTAAAGAGTACTTTATATTGTATAATTTGTTTAAATAATATTTACTCATCTTCAAAATTATTTAGATCTAAATTCCATTACGATTAATAATTATATTCCTATAATTTTTGATACATAAATAAACTATATTTATTTCAAACAAATTTTGTTGTGTCGTGGCTAGAGCTGTTCGTGGACAGTCCGACCCGCTAGGCCCGACCCGTTAAAATTTAGGTTTGGACACCTTTATTAAAATAAATAAATTAATGGATGGGCTAAGCCCGACCCATTTGTTGAAATGGGGCGGGAATGGACAATAGTAACTATATTCCAGGCCTGCTCGTTCAACCCGTTTTGTAAATTATTAAATAATATTTTCTTAAAAATTATATACGAAGTATATAATTAAGTACAAATTATATACGAAGTATATAATTAAGTACAAATTATATACGATACTACGAACCCCTAAATCTAACATCATCTTTTCATTACTTCATAGTTCATATAATACACTTTGTATACTCTTTATATTTTAAGATTTTAAACCATCAATAATTATAGTTGCAAATTTTTAAGAAACAAATCAATTGTCTTAGGTGCATCCTTATGCACCTAAGATAGGTGCAACAAGGGAAGGCCCAAAACGCGCGACCCAAATGAATAACTCAGACAACATATCTGCGATCCGCCAAAATTAACAATACACTCTACAAAATGAACATTTAGTAAAAAAATATGAACATGAAAAAAATGAACATTTAATAATAAAAAATGAACACGTAAAAAAAATGAACATTTAATACTTATAATGCATATGTTTCATAATCATATTATTTTTTATTTCTTCAAATATTAAGTTCATAATTATAAGTATTATATTCATAATAATATTTTATATGTTCATATATAATTTCAAATATTCATAATGTAAATATGTGTTGTTCATGAAATATTAATTAAATCTGTTTATGCATATGTTGTCTTTCTTAAATGTTTATGTTCATATTTTTTTACGTATATGTTCACCTTTTAAATGCTTGTATTAATTGTAAGAAAATCAATGCTTACTTCATATTTTGAAATGTTATGTTCACTTTCTGAAATGCATAAGTAGTTCATATTTTTTATGCATGTGTTCACTTTCTGAAAAGTTAATGTTCACATTTAAGGAAACCTATGCATATGTTCATATTGTGCATGATTATATGTTCATTGATTAAAAAAAATGCAAAAAATCAGATAAAATTCAATTCATTAGAATTAAGAAAATCATATACTACCTCCGTTAACATTTAGTTGCAATTTAGGAATATTTTATGTCTCTCAAATAATAGCCCAAAGTTGCAACTAAATGTTAACGGAAGTAGTATAACCTAATCAATCAAAGTTAATCACAAAGTCACCACATAAGAAATCGAAAATCACACATTTTTATGCCTATGTTCACTTTACGAAAAGCTAATGTTCATATTTTTTTATGTCTAGGTTCACTTTTTGAAAAACTAATGTTCATATTGTGTTGTTGTTACACCTAAATCTAGGCGCATGAGTATGCACCTAAGAATATGGACAACACATTAAGCCTGCTTAAGAGGGCTTGGACTTGCATATTAAGTCCGTAGGACAAAATTATAGGATTTGACCCGGCCCATGTCCACCCCAAACCCGCAAATAAGCGCTCTAATCGGAGCTAATGTTATTTATAATCTCTGTTATATATTATTTGCAACGATTATACATTTTTCCACTCTAATTTAGGTCAAATCGTTATAAATAATATGTAACGGAGGTATTATTAATATAATATAGTGGCGCTTGAAATCCCGCTAAATCCCAAAAATTAGCTGAAGCAGCGAGGCAGTGAAGTAACAATGGCGGAAACAATTAGTATTAGGTAATACTGGAGTACTATTCTCATGGTACTCCAACATATTAAATGAAATAACACATCTTTAAAACAAAATAACATAAAAAGCTCTTAGAATATATAAATCAATATAAACCTAAAATAAGCAAAATTTCAATTTCATTTCTCTCTCCACTTTCTCTCTCCCCATCTTTTCTCTCTCTAATTTCCCAACCCACCATTTTAGCATCATCAAATCCTTCATTCTTCTCAACAAAACCACAAAATTTCTTTTGATTATTATTTTAACCACTCAAACAAGCACAAAATTGCTCAATTAAAGCTGAAAATAAATCAATTTCACTACCTAAAATATGGTTTATATTCATGAAAAATATAAAGAAACGACAATTATGAACAAGAATGAGCAAAACAAAGTAAGTATATTTTATTTGTTTTGTTTTTAGTTTAATTAATTGAAAATGATAGTGCTAATTTGAACTAAATATGTTAATTTGATTTGATTCAATCGAACCTATGTTATTTTTTAATTTGCCAAAACGTTGTGTTATTTTATGAAAACTTTATGTTATTTTACTAATTAAATACTATGTAGTTCTGCTAAAACATTATGTTATTTTACGCAAATCTTGTGTTATTGTTTGCTAAAATAACCTTATATTACTTTGCTAAAACATTGTGTTACTTTACGTAAACCATGTGTTATTTTGATAAATTCTAGTGTTATTTTGGGGAAACCTCAGCCCGTGTTATTTTACTATAAACTTGTGTTATTTCACGCGAACCTTGTGTTATTTCACTGAAATCATTTGTTATTTTACTAACAGATTATTGTGTTATCTTACTTGAACTTTTTGTTATTTTGCTTCAACTTTTTGTTATTTTCAAATGTATGTTATTTTTACAGAACAATACGTTAATATCCCTCTTTGAAAAAATGAGCTCAATTAGTTTTCAAGTAAATTAACTTCTACGTAAAATCTCTTCTGAAAAATTCTCATAAATTTGTTCGATTCTTTTTCTCTTCTTTAAATAAAATCATCTTCATTCAAATTGTTGTTCAAATTTTAACAGATTCTCAAAAATATAAAACACTCAATTATTTTTAGGGTTTTATTTTTTCTGATTTTGGTAATTTGAACAATTAGCTCTTCAATTCAACAAAATTTCTTAATAATAGAGTGATTATTGAATTTTTTTGAAAAATAAGTAAGATAAAGGGTAGAGCAGAAGAACAAAAATAGACAAGAATTTTTTTTAATTAAAAAGCCAGTATTTGACCCCCTGGAGTACCATGGAGTACCATAGAAATTGCGGGCGGCAATCCCAATTGAGATAATCGCCGAAATACTCTCACGATTACCAGTCAAAGCACTTCTCCGATTTCAAATCGTCTGTAAATCATGGAATTCCTTAATCAAATCCCCCAATTTTATCAAAATTCACCTCAATCAAACCCTAATTACCAACTCCGATCGTCATATCCTCCTCTCCGACACGACTCTTCAATGGTCCGAGCTCGACGTTGACCTCCGCCGTAACCACCTCTCTTTCTCGGAGCTGAATCACCCCCTCAAACCACACAAAGGGCTCCAATTGATTGGTTCGTGCAACGGCGTCGTTTGCATTTCTACTATCTCTAAATCCGAGGTCTTCTTGTACAATCCTCTTACAAATTCTCATCGTAAGCTTCCCTCCAATCCAATTCCAGTTCCTGATCTTACTAAAATGCTGTTAGGGTTTGGATACGATAGCAAGAACAACGATTATAAGGTTTTGAGGATTATTCAGGGGCGTGGATTACTTGGTAATACCAAAAATGAAGCTCAAGTGTATAGTTTCAATGATAATTCATGGAAATGTATCAAAGGTATCCCATACTATCTTGATTATTGTTGTTATTATCATGGTGTCCTTGTTAACGAGGCTTTACATTATGTAGTTTCTCTTGAACGGCGTTCTAGATGTCTTTCAATTGCTAGATTTGATCTTTGGTCTGAGAGTTTCTCGCTTATTGAACGCCCGAATTATGATGACAATTACAAGTATATGCTTAATCGGCATTTTATTTGATAGAGTTAGGTGGGTGTTTATATCTGTTGATTAATTTACGTCCATTGGTTGATACAAGGAAAAATAGGGTGCTTGCAAATTGCAATGGTTGAAGTGTGGGTAATGAAGGAGTATGGAAACAAAGACTCTTGGGTTAAGTTGTTTTGTATTTCCCACCGAAGATTGTTGGGATTTGTAAATGTGCTAAGGCTCTTGTTTACTCCAGAGATGGTAGAAGAATTTTGTACAGATAGATGGTTTAGGGTATGGTTGGTACCATTTGGAGTCCAAAAATGTCGAAAGAATCATAGCTCATGGGTTACTAAGTGGAGGTTTCAACACAATGAGTTTTATAGGCAGCCTTGTTTCACTTGAAGATAAGAAGTAAGCGGGCTGTCCACATGCAATTTTTTTTTTAAAATACTCCCTCCGTTTTTAAATACTGGCTCTATTTCTCTTGAACATGAATGTCGATTGATCAATAATATCTTTAATAATCTATTTATTGAGACGATTCCAACAAGTACCCACAAAACTATATTTTTTCTTATGTGTAAATCACAAACATTAGTCAAAGTAAGACGAATGAATAGTGTATAAAATATAAATGGAGCAAGTATTTAAAAATGGAGGAAGTAATGAAATTTAGGGTCTGTTCTCATTGACTGAGCTGAGATGAAAATAAACGTATGAGAACAGACCCTTAATCCTGTTTTTTCAGTTGCTAATTTTGGATTGTTGTGTGACTTGTTTGATTTATAATTAATTAATTACTATTCAAGGGAATACTATAGATATTGTCTTCGAAAGAGATGCATGTTTATTTGACTGGATTATGCTTTGTTCGTTTATAACCCAATTGTAATTTCTTATATTAGGACTTATACTTACTCTGGCATAATATAATGATGATCTCCATTAGAATTTATAAGTATAGAATGTAGATGACATTAGCATTCCCTGATCTCACCAAAGCAGATTAATATTTTATTTTCTGTATGTCACTTGAAGCTATAACCATTTGAAGATTACATATGGAGTATGTTCAGGAACTTTTTGTAATTTGATTTTGTGTGTGTTTTTGTGCCGTCTTTTGGTTTTAGATTTCAGAACTAGGTAGTTTTATACTATGTATTTGGTAAATTGTAATTTAATAATTTTTCTTCTAGAGAAATCATTTTGGAATACATTTTTATTTGGAAGTAATGAATGTTCTTAATCTCTCCCTTAATATCTTCAGAACTGTTGTTGAAAATATTTTGTCTACAGGGTTCAAGCTGAGGCTATGAAATATTTTCTCCCTATCGAAGACGCTACTACTGGGATGTGTTGTTCATGACTGTAACATAAGTATGATGTCTTCTTGCATGCATTAATATGAATTTCTCTTTGCGTGACTATACATTTATCATTTGTAATTAACTGTGTTATGCCCTTGAGTTTGGACATTGAAGCATTTGTATTCAATCACTCTGAATATTGAACTCTACAACCATAGATCTTTTTTTTTTTTAATTAATAAAAGTTTGCAAGCCTCCGCAACCTTAAATCCTTTTCCTTTTTTTTTTTTTTTTTTTAAACAGTGTCTTTTAAAAAGTTGGGTTATTGACACTTTTATTTATGTTCTTGGGTCAAACAGTGTTTGCAATTCAAATTTCCACAGATATTATAATATTGCTGATATAATCTCTTTACTGAAGAGTAATAGCCTGATTATTCTACTGAATTATGTTCTTTCTTCTCTGATTATCTACATCTACTTGTAATTAATCAGCTTTCATGCCACAAATGAGCCTTCTTTGTGTGGATTTAACTGATAAAGAGAAGAAGAAAGCTCGAGAAAGAGCTAATTATGCATTGGACGACAGCCTTGGCAACTTGACCTTCAAAATAAACCGCCTGGCACTGTACAAAACTGATACTGAAGATAAGTCGCTCAAATCATGGTAATAAGTGACGGAGTATGATCTTGATGAAGAAGTTTAGCTTTTTGTGCATTTACCTTTTTGCATGCTTGTTGAAACAGGCTGTTCAAAATAAGCTGTTTAGCGTGCTGCTTGCTCTTGCTGTTAGAAGAATCTCTTTACAGGTAGTTTGATCATATGGAAACCTATCAAGTTGTGAAGGCTTCTCTTGTTCTACAGTGATCGGTTTTGCGCTGTATTTGGTTTAAGCAGGATGTTGACTGACTGAGTTTTTTGCAACAATAAGTTTGGTCCAAATTCATTATTTCTAAAACCATGAGTTACTGGGATTAAAAAATTGCAGGTGTAAGAGCACTCTCACCAATGGGGAGAAAAATGCCCATGGGGAGTTTTTGGGTTTTAATCCAAAAATAAAAGTCCCCATCAATGGGCTAAATAAAAAATGCCCATGGTCAAAACATTTTTTGATCAAAGTTTGGGCAAAATTAAAATCAGACCAAGAATGAGTGGGCCCCACGTGCGACGCTGGCAATAGCGTTTTTTTTGCTCACCACGCCTCAAAACGCAGCGTTTTGAGGAAACGTGTGCTGCGCTTCAACTCAAAACGCAGCGTTTTGAGGAAAGGAAAAGCAAAAAAAATACTAAATGCACCCCTGACAGGCGCGTCAGCACGCCCAATCAGGCGCTGACACGTGTCTTGTCAGAGAGCTTGGACCAATCAAGAAATTCCTGATTATTGCAACGGTTATATTTTTGTAACCGTTATTTTGTGCTTTTAAAATAAAAAAATAAAAAAATTACCAACGGCTAGAAAAAAAAATTCCCTACAAATAGAGACCCATTTTGCCTATATTTTCATATTTCCAAAATTCACATAAATTTGTTGTATTTACATTTTCTCTCAATTTCTCCCTCATAATTAGTCATCCTTTTAATATTATTATTATTATTATTATTATTATTATTATCATTATTATTATTATTATTATAATTATTATTAAAATAAATATTATTATTATTATTATTATTATTATTGGAAGTATAATTATTATTGTTATTATTTTAGTAGTATTGTTATTAATATTATTATTGTTGTTATTATTATTTTTGTTATTAATATTATTATTATTATTATTATTATTTGTGTGATTATTATTATTATTATTATTTGTGTTATTATTATTATTATTATTATTGTGTTAGTTTTTGAAATTAATAAAAAAAAATAGATATGGATCCCAATAACCCCTTTTACTCACTACTTTCTCAAAATTGTAATGATTTAGATGAGAATTTCATGAATCAACCTCAATTTCAACTTTTCTTACAAAGAATGAGCAACACTTCTCTGCAAAATCATCCACAACAACAAATACCTCCACAACAAATACAAAGAAGGAGATGTTCCCGTTGGTGGGTTTTCATCAGGAGGTATACCCAGACCCGACGGGGTAAAAAAAGCAAAGGCTAAGCGTAAGGGAAAAGCTATTGCTCATGATAGTGCATTTTTAAGTATTGGTGAACAGATACAGGCTTGTACTGAAGTTAGAAGCTTTGAGGCAAATTTACGGCAACAAAGGTTGGACCTTGAAAGGGAAAAGGAAAAGAGGAAATACAAACAGGTCGAATTACAAGAGAAGAAGATGAAATTTGATATGTTGCAAGCCATTATGTCAAAAACGACGCCACTTACACCAGATGAAGAAGCGTGGAAGGAGGAACTAATTCAAGAAGTGTATGGTGGAAAGTAGAGTAGTTTATTATGCATTATGATTTCAAGTTATGTTGCAATGAAATAAAAGGTATTTTGTTTATTATGTTGCAATGAATTAATTTTTATTATTAATTTTATCCAAAAATTAATCAATTTATATTACATTTTCATATATTTTGTTCAATTATGAGTCAAGTACTAGCTAGTGTGTGTAGATTTGTCTTATACAATTATGAGTCAAGTGGTTGGTTTTATCAACCATTGAACTGTCAAATCCCAAAAAGTAGTCAAGTCCAATTGTAGTTTTTGTTTTATACAATCATTGAGTAGTCATTTCATACATAACTTGAACCGTATGACAAGCATTGGTATTGATTATTAAGAATTGAGTAGTCATGTATTTTGTTTTTACTATACATTGAGTAGTCTTTTCACACTCAGCTGAAGGAGATGCACTGAAAAGCTTTCCTATTTAAAGGTGTGAAATCCATAAATTGATCCACAACACCAAAACATTCAAAAACCAAACACATAAAATGTTTTCCATAAGCTCAACCTCAAGCTCAAATTCTTCCGATTCAGATCAATATGCGGAATTTGATAATCTAGTTGATGAATTTTTCACAAATCACTTACCTAACATAATGCTTCCTCAACCACCTCCATCTGAGATCGAAATTGTAAATGAAGATGAAACTGTCCCGCAGCGTAGGGGAGATAGAGAAAGGGAGAAAGGGCATTTGCAATTGTACAATGATTACTTCGCAATAAATTCTGTGTATTCCGAAAATCAGTTCCGTCGTCGATTTCGAATGCACAAACCTTTATTCTGTCGGATTATGAATAAAGTGGTTGAGGGCGATCCATTCTTCCAGCAGCGTAGGAATGCAGCTGGTAGGCTTGGCTTATCACCTCTGCAGAAATGCACCGCTACAATAAGAATGTTAGCGTACGGTGTTGCTCCGGATGCCGTAGATGAATACATACGCATGGGTCAAACAACATCTAGAAAATCAATGCAACATTTTACTCAAGGGGTGATCAAGCATTTTGAGGCCGAGTACTTAAGAAGTCCACCAGATGAAGATTTAAGGAGAATCCTTCACTAAAATGAAATGCATGGATTCCCGGGCATGATCGGTAGCATCGACTGCATGCACTGGGAGTGGAAGAGCTGTCCTATGGCTTGGAAAGCACAGTACGCAGGTCGTAGCAAGAACGCAACCCTTATCCTGGAAGCTGTTGCGGATCAAGATTTATGGATTTGGCATGCATTTTTTGGAATACCCGGCTCTTGTAATGATCTTAACGTCCTATACCGCTCTCCGGTGTTTGACGATGTTTTGAAAGGTCGGGCACCACCAATTAGTTTTATGGTAAACGACCATGAGTACAACATAGGATACTACTTAACAGATAGTATATATCCGAACTGGGCAACATTTATCCAAGGTATCACATATCCTCAACTCCAGAATGACAAGTCATTTGCAGATAAACAAGCTGCAGCTTGGAAAGACGTTGAACGTGCGTTTGGAGTTCTACAGGCTAGGTTTGCCATATTACGACAACCCTCACTTGCTTTCGACGAAGACATTTTGAGCGACACAATGAAAGCTTGTATCATTATGCACAACATGATTGTCGAGGATGAACGACACAATTACACTCGTGCCGAAGTTTTGAGAAGGTCTTATGAAGAAGATCGCCCTCAGCTTCATAGAGTAAGTTCCGGACCGAGTACAAGTGCCACAGTGAATAACAACGAGCCTTTCGAATTTGACGTTGGCCGACCACCAAACGTTGATTTTGACACGTATATTCAAAGAAGAATTACCCTGCGTGATAGCCAAACCCATTTTTCTTTGAAAGATGATTTAGTTGAGCATATTTGGCAAAAATACGGTCGTACAAATGAATAAATAGTTTTGTAATCATTAATTTATTTGGGTTGTATGATAGGTGTACGATCATTATGTTCCAATGTTGTAATCGTTAATGTTGTACTAATGAAAAATGAAATTTCGCATAAAATATCAATAAAAATAATTAATATTATACTCATAAATAATTTAATCAATAAAAAAATTTAGTTAAGAATAAATATTATTATTTTATTAAAAAATAAATTTCGCATAAATTAATAATAAAAATAATTAATATTGTACTCATAAATAATTTAATCAATACAAAATTTTGTTAACAATAAAATTAAGAAATACTAAATTACAAATTTAATGATGCGTAGGAGAGATAAATATTGGTGGGCTATAAGGTTAAAAATAGGAGAGAGAATGGTGGGGATTATAATTTTTGACCATTGGTGTAGAAAAAAAATGACCAAGAAAATTCCCATGGGGAGGAGGAGTGAGAAAGTGGTTAGAGAGAGATTGGGCAACCAAAAAAATGCCCATTAATGGCAATGCTCTAACTGAGATATGCAAATGCTAGCACATCTCTGCCCTTTAATCCCAGAAAGTCCTGGCTTCATAATTTCTGAAACCATGGAGATATGTGTATCATATTGACTAGGCCAAACTCATGGTTTAAGGCCTAAATTTTACAGATAATGAAATCATGCATTCATTCGGAGCATCATGTATAAACAAAACTAGGCTAAGCTACTATGTGATCATCATCTTCCTTTGTAAGCAAGGAACAACAGATCTAATGAAAATTTGACTGTTTCATCTTGGCTCCTAAGTTATTAGGCTGAGCTGTTAATGAGTGAGGGGCAGAGGAGGTCGAGGAATCCCCAACCTCAAAATGATATGGTGAAAATGGAAAACATTGAGAGTGTGATTAAAAAAAAATTTAAAATGAAAATGGAAAACATATTTTTTTTGAAGACTTTGAGCCGTTCATAATCTATTCTATTAACCATTATTAAAACAGAGGTTGCTGACATCACCATTGCCCACGTGCCGCTTTCTCAATACAAAATTTCCTGCCTAAATGCAATGATGATGTCACTTTTTTTTTTGTTTGTAGAGCTATCATATTCAATATTTTTGAAATTTCAATATTGGAAGCGTCTACATTACAATTAAAACCTATCAAATTATCATTGGAAATTGAAACAATTTTTATTAGCACACTAATAAATGTAGGGGTGTCCATTATTCAGATAAAAGACCGAAATCCAATCCAATCCAAACCGAATTATTAATTCGGATCAAATCCAAACTTTAAATCGGATCGGATCGAATTGAAATTTTTTGAAAATTCGGATTTTCAAATCGGATCGGATTGACCTTGTTCGGATCCAAAAAACCAAATTAACCGAAATATAAAACCACACTTTTACAAATAAGGATACATTATATTAATCATTTAAATTTTTTTTGATAATTATATAAACTATGAAAAATTATGTTTTTAATATTTGTATTAATCATGAGGAACTATGTATTTAAAACTAGGCTTTTCAGAATTGCATTTTTATTTTTATAATCACTAAGTCCCTAAAAAATTTGCGATGTATTTTAATTCGGATTTTCGGATCGGATCCAAATAACCGAATTTTATTTCGGATTGAATTCATGAGAAATTCGGATCGGATTGGATTTAAAAATCAAAAACCGAATTTTATTTCGAATCGGATTGGATTGGATTTGGCCTAAATCCAAACCGAAAATCAAATAGACACCCCTAAATAAAGGACCTCCTACATTGAACTATAAATTAGACAAAGTTTGAACAGATACTATATAATAATTTTGATTAAAATAAAAAAAAATAAAATTACAAAATCTATACTACCTCCGTTACAGGTTATGTGCAACGATTTGACATAAAGCAGAGAGGGAAAATGTCTAATCGTTGTACATAACCTGTAACGGAGGTACTATAATTCTTATTCATATTCATGTATAATAGCGATTTATTTTTGAAGTGTACAAATTAAAAATAAGCTTTATACAAACCGTGCATCGCACGGGTTCTAACCTAGTTTAAAATATGAGTAGGAATTCAACTTGATAATATTTGGTATATAGTTTATGAAAAAAATTTAAATTTTTTTAAAAAAAACGATACTTGAATGTTACACATTAAAACAAATTTAATTGTGTTTATATTGATGAGGATTTCTTTGTTAATTTGTTAATGGTTGACCATAAAATCAAGGGTAGGCTTATATATTAGGGGACAGATTAATGTAATTATGTTGATTATTCCGCCCTTATAGAATTGTGTTTCTCAAATTTTAGTTAATTATTCCGGGTTAGTTACTACTCCGTAGTATGAGAAACTGAAAACTGAGAAGTAAAGGTGGATTCGTGTACGGAATAGTTCCCCAAAGTCAAGTAGTCAACGCTACCTATTGGAAGTTTTTTTTTTTTTTTAGGGGGATCTATTGGAAGTTGTCTACTTTTTTAAATAGACAAAAACAGGCTTGTCAAAAAAAAAAAAAAAAAAAAAAAGACAAAATCAGTATTCTTCAGTCCAACTTTGACTTTTTAGTCTACCACAATCTTCCATTCCCAACCATAAACTTCACTACATTAATTTCTATTCACATTTCACATATACTGCTATAACTGCACGCTCATAAACCCAAAATCTTGAGCTGAAGCAACAATGGCGGAATTCCCCACTGATTTACTCACCGAAATACTCTCACGACTACCCGTCAAATCACTTCTCCGATGTCAACTCGTCTGCAAATCCTGGAATTCCTTAATCAAAACCCCCATTTTCATCAAAATCCACCTCAACAAATCCCTCATTTCTAACTCCGACCATCATCTCCTCCTCTTCTACCCGACTTTCCACTTTTCCGAACTCGACCTCGACCTCGACCCCCACCATATTCGCCTCTCTTTCTCGGAGCTCAACCACCCTCTCAAACCCCACAAAGGTATCCAATTAATCGGCTCCTGCAACGGCGTCGTTTGCATCTCCACCGTCTCCAAAGCCAGAGTCGTCTTATACAATCCTCTCACAAATTCGCATCTTAAACTTCCCTCCGTCGCAATTCCAGCTCATGATCCTAACAAGATGGTTCTAGGGTTCGGATACGATAGCAGCAGCAACAGTTGTAAGGTGGTGAGGATTGTTCAGGGGGTTGGATTACTTGATAATACCACTAATAATGCTCAAGTCTATAGTTATAATGATAATTCCTGGAGATGTATCGAAGGAATTCCGTACTATCTTTATTATGGTTATTATCATGGTGTTCTTGTTAATGAGGGTTTACATTATGTTGTTACTCAAGAGTCGCATTCTGAGTCTCTGTTTATCGCTAGATTTGATCTAGCGACTGAGAGTTTCTCGCTTATTGAATGCCCGAATTATAATGAGAATCTTATGAGTTTGTTTAATTCAACGTTTTTATTGATCGAGCTAGGTGGGTGTTTATGTCTGATGATTAATTCGTGTCGCTTCAATGGTAATTTGTTGGATGAATTCGATAATAGGGTGCTTGTAAATGCTGAATTGTGGGTAATGAAAGAGTATGGAGACAAAGAGTCTTGGGTTAAGTTGCTTTGTATTTCACAGCCGAAGATTGTTGGGATTCGTAAATGTGCTAGGGCTCTTGTTTACTCGAAAGATGGTAGACGAGTTTTGATTGAGATAGACGGTTTGGAGTATGGTTGGTACGATTTGGAGTTAAAACATGTTGAAAGAATTGCAGCTCATGGGCTACCTACTGAAGGTTTCACAACAATTACTTTGTTGGGCAGCCTTGTTTTGCTTGAAGATAAGGTGATTATTGAAAGGAAAACCTTGCCGAGGAATAACAAGTTGAAGTAAGCAGGCTGTTTAATAAATATGCAATTTTATTTCTCTGTTTTTTCAATTGCTTATTCTGGATTGTTGCGTGATTTGTTTGGTTCATGTTTGCTACGCAGGGGAATTACTATAGACTTATAGGAATATACCTTAATATTGAGTTTAAAAGTGATGCCTTTAGCTCAATTCTTTGCCAAGTGATAGTCGTAAGAGTGGATTATGTTTATATAACCTTGTTGTAATTTGCAAGCTAGTACATTTCGATTTCTTATTAGGACTTATATGTGCTATGGTGTAATATAATTATATTCTCCATTATAATTTAGAAGTATAGAAAGTAGATGACATTATTGTACATTCCCCCATCTCATCATAGTAATTTAATTTTATTTCTTGAAGCTATAATCATTTGAAGGTTTAATATGGAGTATGTTCAAAAATCTTTTATAATTTGATTTTGTGTGTGTTTTTCTCCAATCATTAGAATTTAGTATGGGGATGTTTAAAATCTTTTTATTGTACATTCCCTCATCTGACCATAGTATTTTTGTAATTTTGCTTCTAGAGAACCTATTTTATCATTTTGGAATACAATTTTTATGCAAGTAACAAATGTTCTGAATCTCTCCCTTATTTTCTTCAGAACTGTTGTTGATAAATTTCTGTCTAAGGGGTTCAAGCTGAGGCTATGAACCTATCAAAGACGCTACTGCTGGGACTTTGTTTATGACTTTAATGTAAGTATGATGTCTTATCGCACGTATTGATTTGAATTCTCTTTGCTTGACTACTTCATTATCATTTGAAATCAACTGTATGTGTTATGCCCTTAAGTTTGAAAAGAATAATACGACTTTTTGGACTAATGTTGGCTGAATGTTAAACACAGAATCCGAATTTTATCTTTTTTATCGACCTATTTATAAAGAATGTGTATTCATGGGCCAGCCAAACATAGACCTTTAGCCTTTTTATTTATAAAGATGATCAAATAATCTTTCTTTGGTGCTTCTTTTAGAAATATTGCAATTGGCTAATGCTTATGAGTTCCAAGGAACCCTTTCTGTCCTCCTTTCCTTGGGCTTGGTGCAGGGCAGGACGATAATTTGGCTTAATTTGCAGAAAATTGTAAAAGGCTTTGGTACTTAATTTTATTTAAATGATTCTTAGTTGCTCAGTATGTTAAATTGATGTATTAATCAAGGTATGAGACCATTCTCTTTTAATAAATTCAAATATGTTCTAATACGGGTTAAGTAATGCTGTGCACAATTCAATTTACAACTAATATTAGTTCGCATAAGGTAAATAGAATGCATCCAAAAGATTTATTTGTATATTGAAAGCATATTTGAAGTACCTGCGAATGTAAGGGACAAACAAAGCATCACAGCACATCCAACTTATCAGAAAATTTAAATAGAATGACTTCACTGCAAATTTATATAATACTTTACCAAATTTTTAATTGTCCACTTGTAATGAAGAATTTGAGTTGAAAATGTGTGAATCATATCTTGTAATAGGGTGGATATTTCTTAATGCATCTCGATTTTAATGGTTTCAACATTTTTTTTTTATTTTTTTTTTATTTTTTTTACGGAAGCTAGTGATCATTGATCATGAGTTTCTGTCATTGCCAAATTCATTTTGAATGCTGCATAGATTCATTCAGAATATCACTGGGACTTTGTTACACTTTCTTACATTATCATGAATCTGCACCTCTAGAAATCCTTTTGTTAATGAAACCTTTGCAAATATAAAATCCTTATATTAATTATTTTATTTTCTTTTTAAATTTGTGTTCCGTTAAGCAGAAGTAGCTTCATAAAAGTTGAAAAATTTGACACTTCTATTCTCTTTCTTGGATTAGTCAGTAGTTGAAGTTCTAATTTAATACTGAATCAAGTTCTCTCTTCTCCGGTTATCTCTCTTCTTAGCTTACAAGCCACTATGCACATCTAACTGATGAAGAGAAGTAGAAAGCTCAAGAGAGGCCTTGGCAACTTGAGCTTCAAACTTTATAAAACTGATACGGAAGATAAGATGTCTTGATGAAGAAAAAGTGATGGAATATGATCTTGATGAAGAAGTTTAGCTTTTTGTGCATGCTAGTTGAAAAAAGCTGTTCACCTTGGTGCTTGCTCTTGTTGTTAGAAGAAGACATACAGGTAGTTTGATCATATGGAAACCCATCAAGTTGTGAAGGCTTCCCTTGTTCAGTTGTTCTACTGTGTTTGGTTTTATACTGTCTTTGGTGTAAGTAGGATGTTGACTGACTACTGACTTGTAGTTGTAACAATAAGTTTGATCCAAATTCATTATTTCCATCATTTTGTGCTGAAGAAAATGCAGGCTTATAACTGAGTTATGCAAACACTAGGTCGCTAGCATATCTTAGGCCCACTAATCCCAGAAAGTCCAGGCTTTTTTTTTCTTTTAATCTTGTATGTCTGTATGATGAATTTGAGTTGTAATAGGGAGGGGAGAGAAAATTGGTCGGGGTGGAGATGGAGAGAGCCTAAAAAAGGAAAGGTGTGGTCGGTGTTTAGGGGGAGTGTGGTCGGCGGTGGGGGGAAGGGGTCGACAGGGGGCTAGTCGGTGCGAGGGGAGAGAGGAAATTGGACTAGGGTGGAAACGTGGCTAACGGGGGCTTCTCTGTGGTATGGGGATTTTAATTGTTTTTATTAATAAATTTACCCTAAATTAAAGCCTCTTTCTCTTTATTATGTGAGTAATAAATGTTAGAAATAGCTTTATATTAAGGGACGGAAGGAGTATTAAATAAAAATTTACTTAATTATAATTAAATTTTTAAAAAGAACCACTTGTATTTTGACAATTAGCATAATTGACTCAAATAGCCGATTACCTCTAAATCCAACAGGTTACGACTCATTTTGGGATAATATCATATAAAGGCTGACTTATTTTAAATTAGTCCAAATATTAACTTATTTTTAGTCAATCGCGCAAAGGTTGGCATATTCTTGACAAAATTTTCTTTCAAATTTTACGTGTTTTAGGCACTACATACTGATAAAATACATGTTAATATGCCATATTAACATGGATTGTTTATATGGGGACGAGATGGTTAATTCGTATGCTTTAGTAAGGATATAGACATCAACACAAAGTTTGGCAGATAAATATAGACTAACATCGTCAATCTTGAATTGTTGACACTCCAAGACTAACTATTTTGTAACCTTGTTCACATTTTTCAACACCAAAACCATATTTTGAATCTGTTGGAAAAACTTGGGTAATCTCCTTTGGGTTTTCCTTTCCAATTTCTCAATAGCGATGAATTGAGTTTGGAGGCAAAGTACAATATCGAATAGCAGAACTTAGGTAGGTGGCTGCGGCGACTGAGCAGCAGGTGAGCCTCTACAGCTAGGGTGAGCCGATTATGAAAGTTTGCGGAGTTGGTTGCAGCGACTGAGCAACGTACAACTAGGGTTAACCAATTATAAAGAATTGCAGAGCTGGTTTCAAACTTAAAATGAAAACCTTTAATGGTCAGCTACAATGAAGATGTTGAATATGAGAATGAACAAATCCCTAGCCTTTGGAGTTATCCATACCCTTTATTTCACCCTTTATTCTTAGGTTTTCGTTAATTTCGTTAAATTCCAGACCAAACGAGATTCAAAACAACCGTTAACCCTTCACTAACTATAACATCCAGTTAAATGACACATCACCTACAAAAGAAAAAAAATTAAAATAATACAAACCCGCTCTCATATTTGCCAAAATGTAACCATATTAACAAAGATATTGACCGGGCTCCCGCACCGCTCCAAGATACTTGTACTAATGTATAATATGAAATATGTATGCTGGCTGTAACCGCGCTCATAAACCCGCTAAACCCTAAAGCTTGAGCTGAAGCAACAATGGCGGAAATTCCAACTGAGATTATCGCCGAAATACTCTCACGATTACCAGTCAAATCACTTCTCCGATATCAAATCGGGACGATTTACCAAAATATGGTTAAATTGAAACTTATTTACCATTTTGCGTCGGTACTAAACTTATTTACCAAAATGTTGTCCACGTAGGATCGGGAAACTTTGTTAATTTTTTTAAATATTTTTCAGCTTAAAACCGCTACTTAAGGTAGCGGTTATAGTATATAAACCGCTACTTGAAGTAGCGGTTTTGTATATAAACCGCTATTTAAGGTAGCGGTTTTGGTATATCAACCGCTACTTCAAGTAGCGGTTTTAGTACATAAACCGCGGTTTTGGTATATAAACCGCTACTTCAAGTAGCGGTTTTAGTACATAAACCGCTACTTGAGGTATCGGTTTTAAGCTGAAAATTATAATCGAAAAGTTGATAAACCTGTAGGCATCATCCCCTCATTTGTGCAACCTGTAACAATATCATGTCATGTACATCCACACAACTTATACAATTAACTTATTTAAACAATTCCAACCAATAACAAATGTCCACAAACAAACCAAAATATTTATAATAACATTGAATTAATTAAAGCAAGTATTACAAATATACCAAAATGAGTTCTGATGAAGCAAACTAATTTACATCTCCTACTCTAATGGCGTTTTTTACGATGTAATGGTCATGGTGTTTCAAAATTTGACTCATCCACTTCCAAAATGGGTGACGTAGTAAAAGTGGTTCGTCGAACATAAACTAGTGGTGGAGATACAACTGTAGAAGAGGCTACTTGATGAGTAGAAATACCAGAATAATTATGTGGCAACATGGATGTGAACGAGGGTGAACTAGTGGCTGCAAGCAAAGAGGGTCGAGGAGTAAAAGAGGGCAGAGGTGTAGATGTAGTCAAAGTACTAGATGAGAGCATAGGTGTAGTAGTCAAAGCAGGAGAAGAAACTGAAGGTGAAAAACTTGTGCTCAGTTGACAAGAAGTTCCACGTCCTTGACCACAAAGAGCCCTATGTTTCCGTTTGCGGGGTGCTTGAGAGTGCAACACACTTTGCAAGGAGGAGCTAGATGGTGTGGAGGTCGAGGGTGACCGAAGAACTTCACTATCTCGGAGGAGGTGAGATTGATCGACCCTTGTTAATGTGTCAGCACAATATGCATTTATAGTGCGAAGCGATTCTAAAGTCAACGGTAATGCTTTCTCCATAGGCAAATCACCAACAGCCTCAATAATTCGCATGCACCTTTGGTATGCATTTATAGTGCGAAGAGATTCTAAAGTCAACGGTAATGCTTTCTCCATAGGCAAATCACCAACAGCCTCAATTGTTTGGGGTAAAAATACCCTAAACACGTGGCCCAATGGCCTAGTGACACGTGGCATCCAGCCGTTGGTCAGCAGGGCTCCAATCCTCTGCTGACACGTGTCCTCTAAACCCTAAAAGGGAAACCATCCCTTCCCCACTATAAATAGTGGAAGGACCCTCATTAATGGGGGCTGGAACATTTGTTGTTCACATTAAATACTCAAAGAGAAAAACACTTACCCCGAGCAATATTAATTGCAGAATTCTCCCATTACGCGAGAAGTAACTTCTACATTACGTGCATTCTACCTCCCGCATCTTTACTAACTTGATCGTCGGAGGCGGAGCTCCTACCCCCAGGAGTCTTCGTGATTTTGCAGGCACAGGCGTCGAAGGGCATTCTTGGAATTGTAACTCTCCCGCAGGACACATCAAAAAACCTCGAAACATTTGGCGCCGTCTGTGGGGAGAGTACTTCTAAGATGACTTCTGATACTATGTCACCGAATCAGGGCAAACGGCCTGTGGTCGAGCCTGAGGTCCAGACGGACCATGAAAGTGGAGACGAAATTGAAACATATATGGCCCCGGATGGGTCTTTCAGAACGAAGCACCCTCGTGCTAAAGATAGAAGAGAACGGGAAATCAGCCAAGCTGCTCCCAGCAACCCAGCCGGGCAACCGGCTGGAATTGCCCAAACGGTGGAGGGCTTAGCCCCCGTTACAAGAAACGAACTCATGTCTTTCATGAATAGTTTCAAGGGTGAGATCAAGAGCCTCATCCGGTCAGCTACTCCACAGAAGGGTCAGCCGGCCAAGAAGCCTTCTGGAAAGAAGGCGGTCAAAGAACGAGTTCCTACCCCTCATCCCAAGCCAAAGGAGGGGGAGGGCTTAAGGTTTGATCCAAGCAGACTCCGTTTTCCTCAAGGGGAGCTGCGAAAGGCCATCCGGCACGTACAGCCGGATGGCTCCAAGAAAACATTCTCAGACGCCCGCACATTTCTCCAAGAGAAGCGAGGTCAGGCGTCTGCGTCGGCCTCAACGTCGACCTTCCCGGACAGTTTCCATGACGTCTCACACAGGCGTACGGGAACGAACCTTGGGAGCCAGACGGGCGACGCTTCTGCCCGGTCTGGACCCAAAGTGATCCAGCCTGGCCTATTCGGCACACCGAATGGGTTGGGTGGATCCCCTTTTATGTCACCGGGTCTTTTCGGTGGGCAAGCGCAGCAGCCGTTCCAACCCACGGACTGGCAGCTGCGCCTGCTAAATTTGGGGGAACAGCCAACGGCGTTCTCACCAGTGATAACCCAGGCAGCACAGCCGCTTAAGATCAAGAATGTTTTGGTGGGGGCCTATGACGGCACCACCAACCCAAAAGACCATCTAATGGCCTACTCTAACCTCATGTACCTCCAGGGGTTAGATGATGCCGTCTGGTGTCGATGCTTCCCGGCTACCCTCAAGGGCATAGCCCAGCGGTGGTTTGGTAACCTACCAGCCGGTTGCATCAACAGCTTTCGAACTTTGGCGTACTTGTTTACGTCAAATTTCTCAATGAATATTCCTGCCAAAAAGACTAGCCTCGACCTAGGGGCAATACAGCAGGGCGACCGGGAAGGCCTCCGGTCATACGTCAGACGGTTCAATCTGATGAGAATTTAGATTCCAGGACTATCAGACGAAGTGGCCTATACAGACTTCTTTCGAGGTCTGAAGGATGGGTCGACCTTTAAGTTTGACCTCGTCCGGAAGAGGGTTGCTACCCTCCAAGAGGCGTTAATTGAAGCTGAAGCCTATATACAGGCGACGGAGCTTTGTGCTGTCAAGCAGCCGTCAGATTATAAAAAGTCTGACAAAAAAGAGAGCCGGCAACAACATCAGCCGGCAAGAAAGGAAGAAAAGAGAAAAGGAGTCTGGGCAGCTGACCGATCAGGACAGCCGGCCCAGAAGATCAGGCGGAAGTCAGAACCGTATGCTCCCAAATACGAGTTCGCAAAGGATTGCTCCACCATCCTCCTGGAAATCAAAGACCGGATGTCTCTCGACAAACCGGCTGAAATGAAAAGCCCCGTGAATAAACGGGACAAGAGCAAGTATTGCCAATACCACGAGGATGTTGGCCACGACACCAATGGCTGCTATAGCCTCAGGCGGCTATTGGACCGTCTAGCAGATAAGGGGGCCCTAAAATCCTACCTACCCAAGGCTAAGGGTAATACCCAGGCCAAGAAAGGGCAGGCGGCAAAAACCGGCCCAGTAAACTCCGAGACGGATGAAGAGACCATCTTCACCATAGCAGGCGGTTTTGCCGGAGGAGGTCCCACCATCCGGGGCACCAAAGACAACATCAGGAAGCTGGTCAACTCAGTGGATGAAGGCCAGGCGTCGAAAGACATCTTCCCTGAGGTCCTTATTTCTGAAAAGGACCGGGGCAAGGTCAGGCGGCCTCATGATGACCCCATCGTCATCGAATGCAAGGTTGCCAACCAGAAGGTTGGCCGGATCCTAATAGACACCGGGAGCTCGTCTGACCTAATCAGTTATCAGTGCTTGACCAAGCTCAAGTACACATCC